CCAACCCCCTATAAAACTCCCCATCCCCATTCTCAAAACCTCCAAAATGATGCCTGTAAAACTAGCAGAAGTTTTTAAAAGTTAGATCAACTTTCAGACCACTTTCTTCATCAAGATAAGGGTTTCAGGGAAAAGTATAGGAATGTCAGAAGCAGAGTTTCTCTTTTAAAAATCAATTTTTTTCATCAAAAAATGCTTTACTGAAGATTTACAAGCAATTTTAATTCTAAAAAGACCAAAATCAGGAAGGTACAGGAGATACAGCGACAGAATTTCATTTTCACTTAAGGATTCTTCAATAGAGATAAATTAAGTTACTCCAAACAGCTGCTCAGAGGAAATTTCATTTCACTGAAAATGAGGCATTTTGTGGAACTAGCTTTCATCCAGAAGCACTAAAGGGATGGGCAGGCTTTTCCATATTTTATTGCTTTGTGCCTTGCTCAGAAATCAGTACACACATAAGGTTCAAACTCACATTTTTTTCTAATTCAGAGTACGCAGGGATGCAAAGCTCTCTCCTGAACCAGAAAGAGCAGGTCTTGAACTTGAAGCTCCCGTAGTCCATAGCAGTTCTCTCACTGGAGGGGATTCAGCACTCACATACACCTCTTGCCAAATTGCAACATTTGAACAGAAATTCTGTTTAAGCAAAAACATTCAAAAAGTGTTAGTTTTTATTCCAGTGTGGAATTCAAACCAAACTTTGAAACCTCAGAATTGCTACAAAATGGAGTTGTCCTCCAGTCAGCTCAAAGGGCTGCTTTGTGTCTTGGGAGCTTGCGAAATAACTAGATCACAGTCCTGAGTCTGGAACCAAGTTTTGTGACTTTGTGCTTCTGGGGATTTTTAAGACACTGGACAAACTCGCAATACGTCACTATGGATATGTATAACCTGAATTCTGCTAATATGAAATTTATTCTTGCCCTGCTCTGTGGCTTTCACTAGCAGTTCAATAGAAAGCAACTTTAGAACTCACAAAAGCAGCAGACAGCAAGGAAGTAGTTCTGTCAGTACTGGCAGGGCATTCTGCTGCCCTGCGCATTCAAGTGTGTGTCCTCATTTCATTGCCATTGTTTTATTTCTTGTTTCCAAAGTTCAGTGACACTAAAGCTCAATCAAAGGCACCTAATCCAACCTAAAGAATTTACAGGCTCTTGTGCTTTGAAGCTTCATGACTGAATAGGGGCTGTACAGTGTTTTCATTTTCCTTGGCACTTGAGTTCTGTTCCCTCGAGGCTTAGGTAACATTAAGGGTTGTGCAGATGGCTCCTGCTTAGTTTAAACTGCATACAGGAAGCTTTCTTTTAGCTCAACTTCTCTATTGTTATGCTATATTAATAGGCTCTTTTGAAGCTTAAGAAAGAACTGATCTGACTAAATAATAGTTCTGGGTGGGGAAAGTTATTTAGGAGCATGTTTGCAAAACATGAAAGGCTGCTTCATTTAACCATTTCCTTGCCTGCCTGTGCAGCTGGGTTTTGCTCACTCCATGCTCAGAAAGAGGAAGCTGCACACCCATTTTTTAAATTATGGGGTTTGAGTCATGTGTATTTATTTATAAGCAAATGAACGTATTTATTCTTAGATTCCTGTAGTCAAGCCAGAAAATGTTGGCTAGCCACTATGAAAACATACAGCTATGCTCTGAATTTTGATCCTGTCCTGATTTTGTACACAGATTCAACAGAGAAGTATCCCATCGTTAGCTTGTGCTGGAATGGCTGATTTGATTCTTCTCGTATCATCAGTCAAAATCAAAGGCAGTTCCAGAAGTGTCTTGCTCAGGCCACACCTCAGTGCCACCAGCTCTTTGCTCCTGCTACCTCCTTTAATTCTGCTGTCAGGAAGCTCAATCCCTTCCTAAGCTCAGACTTCAGCCTTGTCAGTACTGACACCCTGATGAGTGCTCATTCTTGCACTTCCCAAACCTTGAGTGGGACTTGCCTGGTGTCTTAAATACAGAAAATTAGCAGAGCCTTCATCCCTGCTGCTTTAGGTGGGGATGTGTAGCTGTATGCTTTTCACCCCCTGCTTCCTCCAAGGGACCGTGCCAAAGCGGATGTGTCACTTTGCAGCAGGGGTGCAGCATGATACAGTGCTCAGGGGAAGTGGCCAAACTGCTCAGCTTCTGCTTTGATTAAATTTTTTTCTCATTCTTTTTCAAGTAACATTTGCAACATCAACATTTTTTCCCTTCCACCCAGAAATCCCCCTGCACCACAAGCAGAGCTTTCTCTTGTGCAAAAAGAGAAAGAGCTGAAGAGGCTGTGAAGTCTGCTGGAGAGTTCTCAGATGTAGGCCAAAATAACACAGCCTGGTCTAGGGCCTTATAGGAACAATCAGAAATCCTTATGCAGGTAGCCATAACAATCAAGGAGTGAGGACTTTGGGTGAGTTACTTCTCAAATCTGAAAATGCTTCCAGCTACCTCCAACTGCTTGGACTCATGGGGAGAAATCTGAAAGAGAACTAATATACATCTTGGGGGTTTTGTCACTCATTTAGAAAGACATTTGTATTTCAAATATCTGGTCTACGTATTGCAGCCCTGTGGCAAAGAAAAAGAGCTTAAAAGGCCCTAAAAAGACATGTTCATCTCTGTAAAAGAGTATACCACATGATACAGATGACATATTACTCTGTTCCAAGGGCAGAGCCCAAACTTCAAGAACGTTTTTCTGTGGCCAATAAAAAACAAAAACAAAACAAACCCAACAAAATAGAACCCTGAATGTTCAAAAAAATAATTTTCTCTCATTGTTACAGATCAGTTGTGTCATATAGTTGTGGCCTGCTTGCAGCCAGAACTCCAAAACCGCTGTCCCACAAAGCAGTCTGTTCTACTCCACCGAGGTGTTTTCCAAGTTCTTTATAAAGCAGATTTTCTGAAAGCAAAGAAGGCACATGGGAATAAGCAATGCAAATCTTCTGTTTACTGACAGTGACACTGGACTTTCTAAATATATTCCTCCTGTAAGGGCCATAAAAAAACTGAGGTTTTTTCCCCCTCTGTAACAAGTTGAAAAGCAGAAATGGTGCCTGTAACTTGTGATGAACTTTTAGGTTTGGGGTTTTTTTATTTTAGATTTAAGAATTTTTAAATTTACTAACATCTTTTTGCCAAGAGAAATCACTGGAGAACAAGGATTTGTGGTTTGTATAGATCTGGAAGGAGAGATTGACTTAAAATAATCTTTTGCTTAAATGGAGGAAATATATTCTTTGTTTGTAGATGCTGCTAGTGCATGCCATTGACCTGTGCTAGACTGGGAATGCCAGTGCTAGAAAGGCACTTCCTCTTCCCTGAAATCCTGTGAGAGAGGTTAGGATTTAATTATTCGATCTACATCTGGTTGGAGAACCTTTTAAACAGAGGAAGCACATCCTGGTTCAGGATTCAACTTTTTTCCAAATAAAAAAAGAATACACTCTTCAGATGTCCTGTCACCTGCCTTTGAATAGCTCATGTTTCCTGCTGCTTGCCAACTGGGTTTAAACAGAAAAGTGATTACAAGTGAAATTGGAGGGTCAGAGGTACCCCTTGTTCTAATTGTAAACTCTTTTCTCCCATCCCTTTTAGAATTGCTCACCTTCATTTTGAGAGGCACCGAGTAGGGGAAATAGAGGCCTGTGGCTAATGTAGTTAGTGACAGCTTCCCTTCAGAGCTTACTGAACGTTTCCTTTTCATATTGACTTATTTGGCCTGATGCACAGAACCTGAGTCAGTGACATGGCTGTATGCATCCACTAGAGTGCCATGCTGCCAACAAAAGCCGCTTGCTCTACTACAGTTGCAGCTTCAGTTGTTTTAGTCCATTCAGGTTTGACTCCCAGGACTTCTTCCAATCAATCCCCTCCCTCATGCAAAAACAATATGGTACATTTTATCCAACACAAAAGGAAGAAATAGACTGAGACATTTCCATGTGTTCGATCAAATCAGGTTCAGATAAACTCTGACCCACTTTTAATCTATTTTTGGAATAAAACTGTTCCCTTTTAAACTTTATCTTCTCTAAGAAATACTGAACTAGAAGGTAATTTTTAGAGGTGGCAGGGCAGTTCCCATCTCTAGGATAATGATCCATACTTTTCCTGGAATATCTCCCTATTCTAGAATAGGTCCCTGTTGTTCTTCTCTTTCCTGTATGTTACACCCCAGAATATGTTAGTGTGTGCACTGCACCAGGCATGGAGTTTGGAGTGAACCATCTACTGCTTTACAGCAGGACAGCCAGTGTACAGTCAGCAAGTGACAAACAGAGGAAGTGTTCAGATACATAAATCCGTGCAAAAGTACGTGGGGTGGGGTGACAGTTCTGGACATACCTGTTTACATGCAGGTGTTTGAATTTGTTCTAGCAACAGTCTTTCACATACATCAAAGTATGAGAATGAGCTTTTTCTTTTCAGATAAGTATGCAGGCATATATATTGTGCCTGAATATTGCCATATATATTGGCAAGTTTTGTGTGAACAGGCTTTCTGAAGATAACTTTACTACTAAAATATATTAAAATGTACTAGATCTGGAGTGATAACTGGAAAAGTGGGAGTTCACAGCTTGCATTTTCTATTTATTTATCTTGGAAAAATTAGTGTGTTCTAATAATGACTGGTTAAATGAGCAGATCTTTCAGGAACACATTGACAGAGTAAGTGCCAGAAACTTTGTCTATTGTATTCAGGAAAGAAGAGGTTTCATCCATAATGCATTAAAGCCTGAGAGAAGAACAAAGTTACTAAATTACATTAGGTTCTTTCTCATTCAGTTCTGGCTTTTTATAAAATAAGCAGACAGGGAAGTCCTGGTAAGCAGAGGCCTATATACAAAATAACATTTTGAAGCAAGAAGGCAGTAACAATTTTTATTACTTACTGTTAGTGGAGAAGATAATATATTGCATTCTGGATAAAAATTATAATTATTGTCAGCCTCCTCTATATATAAACTTATGATATAATTTAATGTATTTCTTGTGTTCTTTACAGACGACCCTCAGAAGCCACAGGAGAAAGACGAAATTTCCAAAGTCACAATCATAAGTCTTGTCCCATTACTGGTGATTTCTGTTGCTGTCATTGTTATCTTTTATGCCTACCGCACTCATAAGAAGAGGAAACTCAACAAGGCATGGGAAAAAAATGTTAAGCCCAGGAAACATAAGGACTGCAGTGATGTTTGTGCCATTATGTTAGATGATGACCGCTCAGACATCAGCTCTACCTGTGCCAACAACATCAACCACAACACAGAGTTGCTGCCCATTGAGTTGGACATTGTTGTTGGCAAAGGAAGGTTTGCTGAAGTGTATAAAGCCAAATTGAAGCAAAACACATCAGAACAGTATGAAACCGTGGCAGTCAAGATTTTCCCCTATGAAGAATATGCCTCCTGGAAAACTGAGAAAGACATTTTTTCAGATGTAAACCTCAAGCATGAGAACATCCTCCAGTTCTTGACAGCAGAGGAGCGTAAGACAGATCTTGGTAAACAGTATTGGTTGATCACTGCCTTCCATGCTAAAGGAAACTTGCAGGAATATCTCACACGGCACATTATCAGCTGGGAGGACCTCTGGAAACTGGGTGGGTCCTTGGCCCGAGGGATTGCCCATCTGCATAGTGATCACACACCCTGTGGTCGTCCCAAAACCCCTATTGTACACAGAGACCTAAAAAGTTCTAACATCCTGGTGAAAAATGATTTAACCTGCTGTCTCTGTGACTTTGGGTTATCCCTGAGGCTGGACCCTTCTCTCTCTGTGGATGACCTGGCTAACAGCGGGCAGGTAAGTTAGAAGTTTGAAAGGGTGGAAGGGTTCCCGGGCTGAAAAGATGAAAAAAACCCATAAGATGCTATGGCAGCTTTTATTTAAAATCATTAAAAATTAATGCGAACAGGTTTATAAACAAAGAGGCTCTAAACATTGAAGCAACACTGAGAGAAGTGCAATGTAGGTTTTGTTATGATTAGAGAGCTGCATATGTATATGATGCAGCCATCCTCTCACTTATAGTGAGCACATGTGAACTTGTTAGTAACTGTTCATGGTGCTGCTGCAGTGCACGTACACACACACTCAGGATCTGCTTCACGTTGTGAGGTTTTGACACAGTTTTCATGTCTGATGGCATTATACTTTTTTGTGAATAGACCCACTCTTGGTGTACCCCAGTATGTGTGAAGTCAGTCTTCTATCCTCAGAAGGTCTAAGCAGATAAGTAGTAATAGATAATAGTTTTAAAAGTAAAAAAAAAAACAACTCTTTAAGATTATGGTACATTCTCTACATGCAAGCAAATGTAAGAATGTCAAATGAAAATAGTTGCCCTGTTGTGTTTTTTCAACTGAGTAGCGTGGATAATACTCATCTACTTGACAGGGATGCCAGGGGGATGCTTATGAATGCTTACAAGACTACATATTTCAAGTATATCTCTAAATATTCTCTCTTCTAATGAAAACTTCTATAGTATAAATTCAGACCATTTATTAACTTAATTCATTCCTAATTATTAAAGTATACATGTATTTATATGTGTATTTTTGTATTCATATTTTTATACATAGGTCACATAAAAGCCTGTCCATTTACACTGACTTTTGCCTCATATTGAACTAATATTTTGGTTTATAACATTTTCAGGGGCAACTCTTCAGTCTGGTTTCAATTCAAATCGAAACCAGCTTCTGCATTCAGTATCTGTGTGTTTCTTCTCCCAGGCCTGCATGTACTTTCCTTTTAAGCCTACCATGAAAAGAAACAGCTAACACTATAATACGCAGTGCAAAACAATACAACATGTTTATTGCTCATCTGAAAGACACTTGGTCTGCAGCAGTTGCTTCAGGCCCTAAGGGCAGAGTTTATCTGTGAATAGCCAAAGAGCAAGAAAACTTGTCAGTGTCAAAATTATTTGATTAAGGAACTAAAAAGGGCTGCTTTCTGTTTTTCCTTACCAAGAGAGGTGCAAGTAAGTTGGTAGTCAGGACAATGCCAGATTCCCCTGGCAGCAGAAAATATGGCCTGTGCCAACTACGGCCTGAATTTTTGGATACATGTCAAATGGCACCATTTTCCTGAAAGCTGAAGTTAAATCACAGCAGAATCCAAAATATGAACGACAATTTCAGCTCATGAGCTCTCCTTGATCTCTTCTTCTGTAGGTTGGCACAGCAAGGTATATGGCCCCTGAGGTTTTGGAGTCCAGGATGAACCTGGAGAACATGGAGTCCTTCAAACAAACAGATGTGTACTCCATGGCTTTGGTCCTCTGGGAAATGACATCTCGCTGTAATGCTGTCGGAGGTAAGTGCCATCTGTTTTCTTATCTCTAAAAGTATGTTGAGACAGACATGCTCTTGTGGTTGTCTGGCAGAGGGTGACTCTTTTTAAATCTCACCAGTTTTTCTAGTGTGTATGGATGCTGTAAATAAACATCCTTCAGCAGCATGCGATGTACACGTGCATGAGCAGGCTTGAAGGCCAAGCACCTGAGCACACAAGAAAATTACTCCTCAGTTGCTGTAAAGATAAATCTGCTATTAGGTAAATCGCTTTTAAGGATTATTAAAGTCTGGTTTTCCTCTGACATACTGAGTAGTCATGGATTGACTCAGTCTAGTTGATGTCACCCAAAATTATTTGAAACATAAATCAATAGGAAATGTTTAAACCAAGAAGCGATAACTGCCTCACGTTTACTTTCATAGAATGTTAATTCTCAAATGTAGTAAGGGCCAGTTAAGTGTCACAATTACTAATTGATAATTTCAGTAAGAGCCATCATAGTGATATAGAAACTTCCCTGCTTTCCCAAAATCACCAGCTGCTGCTTTGTGATGTCACAAGAGATCACCCATATGAGAAATCAAGAGATGTTTGCTGTATTAAGTGTAGTAACAAAATAAAAATTATTGGAACTGACTATCAGAACAGTTTCAGAAAAAGCTGCTATGCTTGTTCATATTCAGAGTTTGTTCACTGAAACAAAATCTCAATTTCTCCTTTGCCTAAAGCTGCCCCAGAATTCCCAGTGTTGTATGTGCTAGAAATCAGAAGAGTTGCTGTTGAGATATCTGCATTACATATGCTATGTTCAAAGATTTTCACCTTACTTCAGGAACTAAAATAAGACTAAGTTACATATAAAATTCTTCACCCTGTTGGAATTGTCTAACATTCATTCTAAAAAATTGCTGCGCAATCCAGGGCTCACACAGGCAGTCTAAGGAGTGGGGCTGTGAAAGATAACACTAATGTGGATATTATAGAAGATATGCAACTCTTATTAGATTTGTTAGCCATCTTCCAAAACCACAAAGGCTCCCTTTTCATCGGGCTCCTCTCAGTTCCACCTTGAAGGGCTGCCATAGACACAGACCGGACAATCTTGCACGCTAGAGCAGTATGTTGTGAGGAACACAGTGTACAGGAGGGAAACCAATATCCCAATGGATATTGGGAAGTGCATAGCTGCTCCTTGTTTCTCTACCAACATCTGTGGGATACCACAAGGGAAGTCTCTGAAGCCACTCTGCACAATGACTGTGTGGTTGCACCACAATGTCCATGTGCCAGGAGGAAGGAATGCATCCATCTCAGTCTCCCGCTATGCCTGACCAACGTTTGGTCTTGCTGGGTGGGCTGTATTGTGGGCAACAGATTTGCCCCTGTTTGCACCCTGCCAGGAAAGCTACAAAGCGAGTATGTGTGCAGAAACTGCTAGCCTAAAAGCATGGGGAAAAAAAAGATCTTTTCTAGTCAAACATTTCAGTGAAAAAACATGTGGTGTTTCGGGAACTGAACCTCAGTCTGACATATTCCAAGGCAAACCTATCCATATTTAACAGTCGTGATCGTGCCTGTTTCTAAGAGCATTGGCACAGCCTCAGCCTTTCATTAGCACTTTGTAAATGTGGCTGAGGAGATTTAAAACTTGAGAAAAAAAGAACTTTGCTCTGTCTCTTGAGCTCTCTCTGTTTCTTGCATTTAGAAACTCACCTTATTAATATAAATATGAACTGTTCACTGTGAATCTTTTATCTTTGATGATTCCTGAGTCCCTTCCTGTTCATATTTGCTGAGTATGGTGAAATGGAGATGGTGGCAAAAACAAACCTTATTGCTGCTGTTCTCAGAAGGCAACTGCCTAAAAGAGGATATAAAGGGAGTTTCATAAGGAAGGAAAATCACCAGCATGTTTAGCTAGAAAAGACTGCCCCACTTTAACCTTAGGAAGAAGAGCTGAAGTTATTTCAGGAAAAGTAAAGATTTCTCTAACCCAGCATCCCCTTTGCTTTCAAGGTGATAGTTAACCCCCACCCACATCCTGATTTTCCCCTATTCATTTCATCCCTCAGTAATTCTCATCTCCAGAATCAAATTTTTTGAATTTTTTTTCCCTATTTCAGTAATCTTTTCAGAGGTGAGGTCCCCAGCAAAACCCCAGGAGGAGTACTTGGGCAGATCTGTAGGGGGTGGAACTCGGGCTTAGCATCTCCATCTAGAGCAGTTATATACAACTCCCAGGGTGTAGCTCCGTTGACTTGTCACTATTACTGAGCTGCAACAGCATTGCACCATTACTCTCATTTCCTTCTTAGATTTTCCCCTGGTTCATGCAGTCTGGCTATCTTTGCAGCCAGCTGGTGAAATACCCTTACAGTGATTCATGACTGCAGCTCCCCCTCTGCTTTCCCTCTCCCATCTGTTACTTGTGAGACTCCCTCCTCTCCTCGCAGCCTTCTCAAGGAGCTGCCTCTGCTCACACACACCCCTCTTTAATTCCTAAACTATTGGGCTATGAGAAAAATGACTTCACATACACGCAGGAGTAGGCGGACCTGATTGCAGACAGCCTTTTCAAAGGAGCCCGAAAGATCTAGGCACCATCTTTGCAGGGCAGGCTTGGCTGCAATTTAGAGGGCAAGAGTGGCAGTCTAAGCAGAGGCAGCAGCATTAGCAACTTTAGTTAGGGAGGGAAGCATGCAAGGAAGGGAGGCTAATTGCCATTCAGCCAGGTAAAGGTACAGTGACTTATTTCTTTTACAAAGGGAGCTCTTGGGATTCATTTGTCAGCATGCAGGTGTTCAGTGAGTGTAGGAGGTGATGGAGCAAGTCCTTTCACTACAGCAGCTTTGTCAAACACAGTCTCCAAGCAATGCCAGGGCTTTTCAGTCAGCAGACATTTAAACAAAAATACCCAGCAGCACAATCCATACTGTGAAGCTGCTGTAGTAAATAAGCAGGTGGGGATCAGCTTTTGAGAAAGGCCATGCTGTTCATTGTTACTTTGTTGTGCTAAATATGGAGAAGCAGAAATGGGACACGAGGGAAAGGGAGACAGGCAAAGATCGAGTTTGACTGATTTTTCACCAGAGTATAATTTAAGAGGCATATTTAGAAACTCAGAAATACTACTTTGGGGAGAACTTCGACTGCTACATGCTGCTGTTAACTTGGTATTTCATTCAGCACAACAGCTGTGCACCAGATGCTGCACGTTGCAAGAAATATAATTTTCATCTCAACCACTTGCTTTCAGAGTGACACAGCTTTGGTGACTGAGACAAGTGTAATTTCTCTGACAGCCTCCTAGAAAGAAAAGAAAACCATCTGTTTTGTATCTCAACTGCTATGGGTGAGGGACTGTTGGGGGTGGCAAGGGAGAAAGAGAGGAAAGGGAACTTATGGATACACAGGTTTGGTGAAGAGGGGGAAGAGAAACCCTTCAGAAAATGGTGATGTTGCTTGTGCAGTATTGTACTGCCTGGAGTACTGGCTGGCTTCAGTATAGTAGCAGGGCTTTTTTTGAAATGGCAGCCTTGCTTTACCAGAGCTGTTTCATGTGAATAAAACCAGGATTAATCTTATGCTTATTCAGTGAGAGTCAGCCAAAAGCCACAATTTGGCATCTAAACACTTGTGCACCCTGTACCTCACAAAATGTTTAGCTTTCATCATATCGATGTGGAGAGGTGACATTTCTGGCAGCAGGGAGCAATTAGATAGCCAGTACAGTAGGGCTGTGCCTGCACAGTGGGCCCTGAGGTCGCTGCAGCTGGGGTCTGATTTAAATTTCTCCTTCTGTGAAGTGGAGCCCAATTAGAGCATGTCTGCACTGCCCTGGCTTCTGGTGGCATGTAGATCCACACAGTACAGCCTCACCCCATGACAGTCACCTATGTCCTAGAAATTCTCAAAGTGTCACCACAGTACTATGTGTAAGGTAGCAAGTGCTATCCTTCAACAAGCCCATGTAGCAGTAGATAAGGTTACTACAGTCCATGTCGAGCGCTGATGTGCTCTGTGTTCCACTAATTTCCCACCTCAGGATTCAACACATAGTGACTAAGCAGCCTGTAACCCTACACTGGTGGCAGAGCTCATGCACTCCCAAACCTTTAGAAGGGTGCCTGTGTCTTTGATCATCAGATATGAAGTCACTTAAAACATATCTGTGGGAGGGAAACAGTACAATGAGTTCACCCATCCCAATACATTCTTCACCTCAAGAGGGAAACCTAGAGAAATTTGTGAAGTAAGCATTTGACAGCTCCTTAAACTTGGCCTTGAAACAGCTTTTGAGCCTCTGCTTTAGGCATTATTTTCCCTTTGTGCAACTAGTGCAAGCTAGTAGATCCAACACCCAAATTGCTCTAATATGAAGAAAGACACTATCTGAAGGACACGACCTGTGTGTGTGCATGAGCTGTCACAGTAGCTCCGCCATCAACTAATTTATCCCTTCTTTAGCTGTCCCCTCTTAACTCTAAAGGGAGGGGCATTTCAAAGGGATGTGCAGTTCCTGAACAAAAGCTCACTACTGTGGGCTGTGCCTCACAGTTGATTTTTGCTGGCCTTTTACCTCGCTCCTGCTTTGATTCTTCATCATCCAGCATGAGGAGTTGTCCCTTAGAAATCAGTAAGATAGATCACGAGGGAGCATCAACAGTGTTTGTGGGTATGCTCTTCTGACCCAAAGAAAGAGAATTTCACTGCAGAAAGCTTGGAGTAGAAAAAGACCACATGAGAGAGCCAAACTTTCCAAACTTTCATCACGCAAAACAAATAGATTTTCAGTAATGTCTCTGGGGCTAAAAATCCCGTCCCAGCCTTTCTGAGAGTTTCAGCCAGGCCAATGTCAAAGGAAACTAGAGGTATAGCAGTTAGTAGTGCATGGCAGCTCTCAACCATAAAGATTAAATGCTGGAAGTTAAGGTTGAAGGACCTCTGCCATTATTGAATGCTAAAGGTGCTGTAGTTCATGGTACCTGACGTATTTACAGTACTTCATCCAGTTGCCATTTTTAGTGCCCAGCTGATCTAAAACCAATCAAAAGAAACATACAAGACATGAAAAATAGAATCAGCATCTCTATACAGCCACTCATAGGCCCAAACATCTTAACCTACCTCAAACTGACATCTGTTATATCTACTGTAGAACGTAAACATGATCCATGAACAACTCCAGCTATTACTGCAAAATGTGTCTGACACCTGAGATTCCACAACATAAGGATGACTTACTGTGTGAGGATTTAGTGGGCTTTTTTTTTCTTTCCAAGGGAAAGAAGAAGTAATAAATAGCAAGAAGATGCTGCATGCTTTTCAAACTGAAGGAAGGCAGAACTGTATTAGTAGAACATCATTACAGTAAATTGGCATCTGGCCTAAATTTCTCTTTATTTACCAAAACCAAAAACAAAGCAACAACAAAACAGAAAGCCCAAATGTGAAAAACCTATTCAATCTTTATATTTGGAGGAGGAATGTTCATAATATATAAACAATTTCTCAAGCAGGGAAAATGTATTATGAACCTGTCAATTCCCAGGAAAGGCTTTCCCTTCCCCCACTTGAACCATCTCATGAACCTTCAGATTTAAGTCAATGAGAGGGCACCAGTCAGCACCACAGCACCAGCTTCCCTCTGTTGGACATACAGACTCCTCTGACTTTTTACATTGCAAGATCTCAGAGCCTTGGCTGGTGTCCATGACCGCTACCACAACTAAACCACGACTGGTGGAGATGGCGTAGGGAATGGCCATCTAGGTCATGCTATTTAAATTTTCCCAGCAAACGTTAATATTTTGGTTAGCTCTGAAAGTAGAGGTATCTGCACTGTAATCATTGTGCATCCACTGCGTAGTAACTCAGGTCTGACCAGCAAGATGGCAACTTCCCAATTCACTTCTAGGGCTAAAGTCTTTTAAATTTACTTTGGCCAAGTAATCTCAAACTCAGATTAATGTGGGTGAAACTGGTATGCCCTCCTGTGCAGGAAAGAAAGTAAAGCAGACTTTAGCCCTTGAGTCTTAAAGAAAGTGATTTATGTATGAGAAGATAGGAGACTACAACCATTCTCCAGAGCATTGTGTGGACAGTGGTCAGCACCAGATAGTTAGGGAGAAGGAAGGAGAGCTCTGCAGGAGGCATCTGTGGAGTGATCTGCTACGCTGCACACACAGTTATTTGCAGCTGAATGTCTAAACGCGGAACATTTGAAGCACAAGGTTTAATATCCCTTCCAAAATGTTTGTTATTGTAACTTGGCTCTAGGGTTTTGGAGAAAAGTCCGAAGTTAGTTATCTTCAGTACAACCTTGCTTTTATCGTGGACATGACAGAAGGATCTGACCTGTGTTATCTTGATCATTAGTTATTTTCAGTAGTGTTTTATATGATCCCATTCTTACCTTTCTCTTCAAAGTAAACAAAGCCAAGCTTTAGAGGTTCTTTCCATTTCTTCTGGCCCTTTAATCATTACCACCTTTCTCAGAGCTTCTTTTTACACCTTGAGAGGAGTGAGCAACACTGGACACTACAGTTGAACTTTGGTTGTAACATTATGCAATGGTACTGTGTCTCCCCACTCGTTCATCTCTCTTCACACTTCATCTAGGCACTCACATGCATTCTCCAGACTGCTTTGTAGATTACACTTCAGTTTTTCTTGCCCTCAGTTAATTCCTAGAAAGAAATAAGAGGCAGCAGAACAGGCCAGCTTCATAAATCTTTATCTAATACCAGCAAGTCATTAGGCCTGGGAGTAAAGTCTCCATCTGTTCCCAAAGAAACCACAGCATTTTCTACACTGTGTCAGCATCTACTATAATATTTCCGCTCTCAGAGATTTCTTGAGTTTTCTCCAGAGGTCCCATATGTCTCCTCTTCCTTTCTCTCTCCAAAGAAAAGCAAAGAAAATATGCAACATGCAAACAAAAACTAGAATGGCATCAGCGCCTTCAAGAAGATGTGGCCCCTGCATCATGAGCCAAAACTGACCCATTTTGGGAAAGAGGTCTAAAATAAGAGCAGACTACTACTTTTTACAAAGGAATGTGGCTCAGGAATAAACAAGAGTAGTATGCCAGCTTCCAGCATTGCTCCTTACTGTATCTTTGTCCTTTTCAAGCAACTATTTCATCCTAACAATCTGAACATTCACAACTATCATTACCTAGACAGATTTCAGTTTATATTTCACCTGGTAAGTGTGTGTGGACTCCAGGAAACCTAAGGGTGACCAGTTCTTGCAATCCTGGCTCAAGCAAAACTCACCTTACAAATTCTGTGTGTTTTACTTCAGCAGAGATTGAAAGGCTCACAAACCATTATAGGTTACTCTGCTGCTTGAACTGTTGCTAATATGATTATGTGCTAAAGGGTTTAAATGAAAATTGTTTTGTTGGCTAGGAAACAAAAGAGGAGGGAGGGGGAGTGTGGGAGAAACACATTTGAAACATTTTTAAAAATGCCAACTGGCTTTGCTTTGTTTGGAGCTGGTCAAGCAGAACAGTGGCACTGAGCAGCTAATCAGTAGCTCCTACTCCTCCAGAGAACAGCCAGCTCCCTTCAATCTTGGCAGCAGCACAGCCCAGCTGAATACCCTTGTGTTTTCTTTTTCTCTTGTCAGAAGTGAAAGAATACGAGCCCCCATTCGGCTCCAAAGTGCGAGAACACCCTTGTGTAGAAAGCATGAAGGACAACGTCCTAAGAGACAGAGGGCGACCTGAGATCCCCAGCTCCTGGCTGAACCATCAGGTAAGAGCACCTCATGTGAGTGACTGGGAGCTGCACTATACATTTAGCTGCTGCCTGAAGCCTGAGCCTTAACTCAGTGTCCAGCCCAAAGGCTGGACCTCTCTTTTGCACGGGGTAGAGCTCTGTCACATGGTGACACAGGTGCTGTCATGGTTCAGGCACCACAGTGCCTGCACCATGCCTGCCCCAAAGCCCTGGGATTCCTGCTGCCCACCAGTGTAATCTAAAAGTGATCAAAAGAGAAACGTTGGAAGCCTGAAATCCAACAATCATCCAGAGAGCCACAGGATAATTAAACCCTTAAAGCACACTGTGTAGGCTCTAAAAGGTCAAAGAGAACAACTTCATACATGGGCCTCTGTTGTGGGCAGAATGGGAGCTTCAGACAAAATTTATTAGAGAAGCCCTCCCATTGAGTCAGGGGAGCAGAAAGGACCCCCTTGCTTTCTAAACTCCTTCTCAGAGAGGAGTGTAAGTGTGGCTGGATCCAATCTTACCCCTAGATTTTGTCAACAGTTTATGTTTAAAGGATTATGTAGGTGTAATTGAACTATTGTACAACTTTGTTCCGCAGGATCAAGGATGGCAAACTAGGTATATTTATATAAATGTAAACTATTTATTATAATAAGACTAGACAAAAAGATCTTAGAATTATTTATTACACAGAATAGAAGTACTAGTATAGTATGAGGCATTATGAAGCAATACTGAAGCAATTACATTGAAGCAATTATATTATATCTATCAAAAACAATTAAGTGGAGACTGGTGTCACCCACTCATACCAACCAACAACTGTAGGCAAATGTCTTCCACTCAGCCTCGAGGAGTAACCTTGAGGAATGGCCACTCAATGGAAGGTATCTTCACACACACTCCAAGAAGGGTTATGTCAGAAGACTCTGCCATTAAAAAGTGGGACTGGGCTTTTATATTATAAAGTGATTGACTGTCAGTCAGGTGTTTCCAAGCCAGCTGTGTCAGCTCAGCAGCTTTAGATAAGTTATTAGTAGCATCACTTGTTTGTTCCTTTATTGGGTATTTTACCAGGTCTACCACACCTTCATCTCACTATCAGAATGTTTGACTTCGAGTCAGACTGGTTTCAACATTATTCAACACCAAGAGCAGCATGACCCCCTTCTCCATTCACCACTGGTAACTTTGCTGAAGGGTCTGTAGCAGGATGCTCTGCCTGGAATGGGGTAAAATAACTTGAACAGTGCCCTATTTGCAGAGATAACATTATCATGGACACCAGTCATAGTTGTATTCCAACTGTTGACAGGTTTAAGAAATAGGAAATTAGTCTTCAGCAAGCCAGTCTGATTTTATTCAGGTTATGCATTAGCAGTCCATTTCCCTTGTGTATCATGAGGCACTTTGTCAGCCTTCTCCATTCACAAGCACCAGGCAATAGTACATTTCTCAGTAGATGAAACAAAATGGAAATAAGCCAAAGGCATGCATTTCTTCACCTTTGCTCTCAGCAGTTTTATCAGTAGAGATAAAATGTGAATCATATCAGGGAAATGATGGTTGGTCATTCCACTTGTCGATAAAATATGCTGAGTGGTCTTTACAGACAAAACAAAAGTATTACAAACATTTATAAAAGCCCAGGCAAGCAAGATCATCTAGTATTTCCATCAGGAGCAATGTAACACTCCCTTTTTCATTCCAGTTGGGAACTTAAAATCCTAGTCTAACATCTACTTAAAAAAGGCCAACTGAGTGGCCAAAATCAGTTATCTTTCCAACCATGAACACCTGCCACCTGATGACTATGGCACAGTGCGACCCCTTCCTGGACTCCAGGGTCTTGTTCCTTATGTACTCAGCTGTGAAGAGTAAGGTTATTGAGGAGGGGGTTTTAATGAGGGAGTAAACTATATTTTGAGGAACACCTGGATATCTGATACTACCAGTACTAAAAGCCCTTGACATTTTTAGAAGCCATAGGTACAACCATCTTCTAAATTACCAGCTTAGCTGGGAAGGAGAGATTATACTATTGTTCATCTTCAGAAAAAATAACTTTTTGCAGAAATTTTATCAAAATTGTCAATAAGCTAGTAAAAGGGATCATGAGCTGACTGCAGTTGGGTTTTTTCCATAAAGGCAAAACAAAGTCCAAACTGATAATACATATATAGTACTTTAGAAGAGCTCAATTTACAAAGCAATTAACTGAGCTTTTCATTTGGGAGTAAAAAAGTTAAATATTAGAAAATTCTTAAAATTAGGAACAGTGTGAGATATTTCTCAGGATATTTAAAAGACATGGTCTCACCTGTGAAAAAAACGAAGGTAAAGAGGGTTAAAGAACTGCTAAGGAAACAGAAGAACAGTAAGATCTGTGGTCAGTAAACTTGAGGAAAATCAGAGTTTTCCCGAAAGCAAAAAGAAATCTAGCTTAGTACTGATATGCTGCTGGATATAAAAGAGATATTGAATATGCTAGTGCAAGGGCAGAAGTGGTCAGCAAATATTTCTGCTCTGTGTTTGTTAACAGTCAGATGATGCCACGTCTAATAGAAGGTGAGGAAGGCCCCTAAAAGTCGTTGGAACCTAAAGCAGGCCTGGGGCAGTGTTAGGTGGCTCAGAGACTTGTCTAGGCTGGGGACAGGGCTACTCCTGCAGGCACTGCAGGGCATTGCACTTCGCAGCAGTACAGCCAGGCAATACTGCTTTGCTGGCTAGGCCTTGGAGAGAAGTGTCCAGGAGCTCACTGCATGCACAGCCAGCTGTAATGGCAGGCTCACGTGTGCCAGCATACCCAGGGCACTCGGCTAGAGAAACACTGGGCTCAGGATCCCATGGTGCTCAGGCATAGGGCAAACTCGTGGCTGCTCTCATGGCAACAAGGCTGTGTGTGTGGAGGGCTGCAGCTCAGGGTACTGGAGTAGAGCGCTAAAATACACTGTGAATTTCACCACCTCGGGGTTTGTATAACAAGTAAAAAGATCATGGATTTGGACATAGGTATCCTGCATTCGACTTCACAGATTTCTTCCCTATATAAAAGATAGACCTTAGTCTGCCCCCAGTACAAGGCATCACATCAACCTATGCTTGTGTGTCACCAAGGTGGGTACAGCTGGCTCCAAAAGAGTTCAGCTAAGAGCTGAACGCAGGGAGTGGATGCCTGATAGCACATGCAGAGGACATTTAATGAAGGTGGATTTAATTCCCTTTGCCTGAATCCCATCAGTGTTTCACACTGTGCTATCTAAAATGCAGTGATGCATCAGTTTCCTCAGGGCAGTGACAGTTTGCAGCAGCTGAGGATCTGCTTTGAACTCCATAGAAGTTGCTCTTACTGTAGTAGCTCTTCCATATTCATTTCCTTCCTCTGCAGTCTTGTTTTTGTAATGAACTCATTATTCATCGTGATAAAATTCTGGAATGGCTTTACATATTACAATTACCCCCACCCCTCCCCTAATGAGATTTGCTGCACTATTGATTTCAAGTTAATGTTTAATATTTAATTTAATTTACTGCTAGTAGTTTCAATGACAGCATAAAACTAATGTTATTTGTATACAGACAATAACATTCTGCTATTAACATTGACATCAGTCAACATCACCAATTAGGTAAATTATGCAATTAATGCAGTGTTGTGAAATGTTTTGGGGTTTTTTAAATGAGAAGTTTAAGATAAATCCTACTTAATGGGCTTTTAGTGTCATAAAGCAAAACACACAGTTTCCTGACAAATACCTCATGTTTATAAAATGCATTACAGAGATGCAACTGGTTTTTTGCTCCTGTAAACATGTGAATCAGAATTAAAATGAAGGTTAAATAGTTATAACTGTGAGTGACGTGTTCAAGTGTTTCTGGGACTGTGGCCCATATTCGCACATAGATTTAGATAGTCTACAAGGAATTCATAAAAAGCTGATGTACGGTCTGATATTGCTGGCAATCAGAATTTTGTATGAAAAACCGAAACAGAATTCAGGCACTCAAAGGCATGGGTTAAGCAGGAAGTCATGTTATCAAAGAATTTTGATCATATTTATTAAGAAAACCCCCTACTTGATTCTATAGCACTAGTGTAAAGCATCATTGTTCTTGTTATAATGTTTTAGAACACATGCCCAGAAATGACAGTGCCAACTAAAGTGCTGAAAATATTGTAGTAGGGTTTCTTTTTGGAAAAAAAAAAAAAAAAAAAGAAAACAATACCCCCATGACAGACACAGCAGAGACCATAAAGAACCTCCAGGACACACATGAGTAACCCCCTGAATTTCTGAGGGCACTAAAGCAGCTCTCACACGTGGGTTTTGGTGGTGACTGGCCCCATCATGGCTGTTCTCTCTGTGCTCCCTGCAGGGCATCCAGATGGTGTGTGAAACTCTTATTGAGTGCTGGGACCACGACCCCGAGGCCCGGCTGACAGCACAGTGCGTTGCAGAGCGCTTCAGCGAGCTCAAGCACCACGACAGGCTCTCGGGAAGGAGCTGTTCGGAGGAGAAGATCCCTGAAGATGGCTCTGTGACCACTGCAAAGTAGTATGTACCTGAGAGCTCAAAAATGGAGGGAAGTCACTCCTAGACGTGTTCGCCTTGGCAAAGGAAGAAGTCTTGATCAGTGCCTTGACTTGCTTCCTGGAGGACTGAGGCTGTCACTACTCCCTTTAGGCTGCAACTCTGGACGGGGAGATGTATTCTGTGAATTAAAAGCTGGGGAGTAGCTGTCCTACCCTAGCATTGGCAGCCCGCATCATGTCATAGGAGGAGCTATGTATATTAGCACTTCCTCAGGAAATGAGATTTGAAAATAGCCAATAACATTATGCACTTTATTAATGCCTGTATATAACTACAAAATTGCTATTTTTATATATATATATACATATATATAAAAAATGTGTGTGTATGTATATATATATATATCTATCTATATATCTATAAACATTCATGCTCTGAAAGAAAAAAGTGCTTCCAGGAAAGGACCAGTGCATTAGAAATCCCTCCCCTTAGGGAAGGAGCCTGGGGGGACTGGTATAGCACCACACCAGCAATTGTGCACTAAGTGCTCTGCCAAAAAGATAGGAATAACATGCAATAAAAAGATGACTTTCAAAGCATGTGCTGTGATCACCTGGCTGGGGCCCTGCAGTTCACAGTTGCAGGAGCAGTCTCGCAGCAGACAGTCCAGTTTGACTTTGCAATTGTACCTACATGGTCCTGTCTGCAGCACATTGTGGAAAGTTCTGGGATGCCTTTTTCCTCTCACCTTAACCTCAGCGTCCTCATAGTGTCCCAGAACAGGAGTGTGAGGAGGTTTGGCCCTTCCCACATGTGTGTTTTGATACAAAGGTCGTTACTGTTGTATTTTTTTTTGTTTTGCTTTGAATTCATGCTGTTTGCAAGCAGGTTGCAAAATATGAGCAGGATGAGCTTTCCCCTCCTCCCATCCCCATGCCCAAACCATACAGAACACAAGAGCCAGCAACAATCCAAGCAGATGTTTTATATTTGCTGTGCATTCTGAGTGTGGGCAGTACTATTTTTTTTCCCTTCCTTTTACCTTGATTGTGTTGCTGTAAGATCAAACTTCTTTTTTCCCTGTACACCATGTCTAATTGCTTGATACACCACAGTCTGACTGCGTTCCATACTTTCGAAAGTAAGAGACAACAGCTGGTGCCTTTACTTTTGCAAAAAGACCTTGGAGGTGAGGGAAAGCTCTGTAGCAATAGGTTAATGGCATATCCTGCCCACAGCATTTAGGGCTGTCTCAGCAAGTCAGCAATTCACAGAAGAAGAAAAAAAAAAAAGCAAACCACAACCAAAAACCAAGAAAGACTTTTTTCAACAGGATCCCTTGGACATTGCTTACATTCTTTCAGTTCCCCAAAATGTTTAAGACAGTTGACATCACACTGGGCCTATATAAATGACAGCAATGTTTTTAATAAGCGCTAAAAATTTTGTCTTTAGGTGTTTTGCAGTGATTTATCCACTTTTCCCCATGGGATGTCAGCAGGCCTTGGAAGTTAGAAATTCAGCCAGCACAAACCAGTCCTGAACAGATGTATCTGGTGTGATTTTTTTAAATACATTTGACACATAAACATCAATATGTCACTAGAAGATGTTGCCATGCAACTCAATAGGAATCATGTATTCAAATAGGAGTTAAGATTTATGATGGAAAATATTTTATTTTATTTGAAATGGTTTTGTAACTGCTTTTTTTTTTTCATTTTAACAAAACTACTCAGAAATATTTAAACAGTGCAGGGCAAAATATCCACATCTACAGTGGAATTCAGAGGATACTATATCGAATTTTATAGGGGGGAAATGTTCTTGTAAACTCACAGGGCCACAGGCAAAGGTGGGGGCTGCAGGTGGGGGCATATCCAGGCAGGTGAAATGTCAGGGCCCATTTCTCTTCCTCCATCCATACCGAAAGTCAAGGAATGGCATGTGGTAGTTCCTGACAATACTGACATTTTTATGGGGGTTTTTAACACTACATGTAAAGGGAAATTTTTATTCTTTTAAGGAATATTTCACCTGTACATCATGTATGAAATAGGAATGTGAGCAATATATACTCTTGTATATCAAAAGTTTCAAACACTTAACTTGATCTGTAAACTGTTTGAGGGGTTTTTCTGTCTTGTTTTGTTTTGTATAAATCAAACGTTTATTGGAGCAAATAAAATAACACCAAGTCAAGCTTGTCTCTCATCTCTGAAGCATCCAGAGTAGGGAAAAGGTTCTTCCTAAAATGAACCCTATCCTAAAATTATTGAAGTCTATTCCTTCCTACCAGGGGCCTGAATGTCATGCTTAAGTGTGTCCAACGTGCGTATATCCTGCTTTGCTAATGACTCCTTCTCCAAGCGACCATACCGCCCTTCAGCAGAACAGCAGTAGCAGATACCCAATGTTGCTGCCCCCTTAGCCCCTGCACTGCTATCCCTTCACTAGTCTCAAAGGAGGGGAGGGAGAAAAGTGTTTACAGCTGATGCTCTCCTACTTGCAGATGGCTCAGTTCTCAGTGTTGATGCGGCACTTGGGGACATGGTTTAGTGGTGGACTTGGCAGTTTTGGGTTAACAGTTGGACTCCATGATCTTAAAGGTCTTTTACAACCAAATGAATTCTGTGGTTCTGTGATAGGGCAGTAGTTAGACCTCAGTCATTTTGATGTTAATGTTAAAATGAGCCAGAAGACAGCCCACTATATCTGTGTCACTGAGAAGTGTATGATTAATGTGTTTATGCCTTACAGCTTCTGCTCTCCACTCAGAGCTTTTACCCTTCTAAGCTATTACCCCTCCCATGGAAGACGTGCTGAACACAAGCACCACATAAACAAAGAGCAAGACACCTCCCTCTGCCCTCTTCAAATTGTCTTGAGTGTGACTTAGGTTGAATCTAAGCCTTTACATAGAGTGCAGTCCACCAGTGGGCATCTGGTATACTCTGGACAACGCCATTTTTTTCACAGATTGTATTTTGGTGCCAAAACCTCCTCTAGCGTTCATGCTTGACTGCACTGAATATCTTCTTTTGAACCTTCAAGTAAGGCTGCCTTAAACAGTCACCCACATGTCTTTGTTCATGAGTCAAGCAAAATCACAGAATAACTGAGGCTGACAGGGCTATCCAGTTCAGTTACTGTCCTTGCCGGTTCTGTGGTCCAGGGTCATAATCAAAATATGAAGCTTGAATCAGGTTGCTCAAGACCTTGTGGAATTTTAAGCATGTTCAGTGCTAATGATTTCACAGTCTCCCTGGGCACCTGGTTCTCTGAACAGAGCAACACATAGCCAATGTCAGCTGTGGTGCAAAGCACAGCGGCCACATTTAATCTATAATTGTCAAAATGGGGCCTTTGTGAAGAAGGCCCTTACTCGGTGCCCCTCACGCAGACAGCTGCAGGTGACCAGCTCTTTCTTCAAGTAAGCTACTCTCTGTCAGGTATGAAACAGCTCTCAGTTTCCCTACAGGCATGCAAAGCCTCACTACCCACACCTCTGTGTTTCCAACAGCGCCCTGCTGAGGTCTAGGCAAGCCCAGCATCATTGCGGTTGGCCCCAGCATGTGCCCACCGCTGGCCATGTATTGGCAGAGATTCAAGCCCTGACGTCCTGTTTACACTGGCCCAAATCTGAGTCCTTTTGGCATAACACAGCAAGTGTTGCAAAACCAAGTATAAAATGAATTTTAAAAATGCAGCAGGCAAACTCCACAGATCTTTCAGACTTGAAGTACACAATATCCTTGAAATTAAGTACACTATATACTTTTAATTTTTTTTTTTTCAGTTAAGGCTTTTGCCTACCTTTCTTATCCTAAATATTGTATTCAACATCCTGCTGTAAGCAGCTCTTAATTAGCTTGTCAGTCAGCATTTTATCACCAGGGTTCACAGCAAGGAGGCTCAGCTGTGCAATGCAGAAGGCAGACCTTGGATTTACTACTGAACCATGCAGTGGTCTATACTGGATAGCGAAGTTTCCCGGTGCAGCCTGCCTCTGTGTTACCAGTTCATGTAATTTCCAGCACAATGGGGCATTCACCCCCTTATTCTACTGAAATAGACACGAATGATAAAAGAGAAAAAAATTATGACCCAGCTGCTGAGGAGAGAAAAAAAAAAAAGAAATAGAAAGGCATTAAGACACTGTTATTCTGCATGCTCCTGGAAACAAACTGGGCCACATGGAGAGCACCTGCAATATTGTCCTCTTGTCAAGCCAGCTGTGTTGGGGCCGAAGGGCTTCCTTTCCTTCCAGAAGAACATTGATTAATTTATTTCCTGATCCTTAGCTCTTTCTCTCTCTCCTGCTTTTTCTTATTCTTTTTCTTTTTCTTTTTCTTTTTTGGCATTATGTTTCTAATAAAATGCTGCCTGTGGCAATTTTTCCCTCTGGCCACAGAGAAGATGAGTGATTTCTGCTCCAGACTGTCTGCTTGTTCATGAATGGCAGTTTGGCTGCCTTCACACTGTTTATTACTTGGCAAACATTCCTGCAAGTCGGCGCACACCATGTGCATGTTGAGAAAGCTCTTGCTGGGGGGAATGGCAGAAATTCCAGTTTCATTCAGGGTCCATATAAGTGATGCACCTCATTGCAGGATTTTGGTGCTTGATTATTTTTTTTACTTTCAGACACCTGTGTCCTACTGGGTTACATTTCCCAGCATGGCCCATAAGACCGAGTTGGCTTGAGCCCAAGGTGTCCCAGCCTGGTTGTCCTGAGCACATTTCCTCACCATGCCTTGATCTATTGGCAGATCTCACCTGTTTTTGACCTCTGGCAACTGAACAGCCTTGCTCATGGGCAGAAAACTGAGGAGACAGTCAGTGGATTGCTGAAATACAGCCAAATTGTGAGGCTCTTGAGAGGACCAAGCCCAGGAAATAGACTTAAAATTCTTGACTAATGAATGCTTTGAGCACCATCTAATCACTTCATGAAGAGGCAAAGGCAAAAGGCAGCTCATAAATTATTTATTGTGAATTATTTGCTCAGTTATAATGGTGATAAAACCATATCTTCAGACAGTTTCATTTAGGTAGCTAAACTCTTAAAAAAATTAGATGGTCACCTGATTGAGTTGACGTGATTAAACCCTCCCTGCTGAAATGTCTCTTGCACAAGTACACTGCTATGTGAAACAAGGGGGAGCAAAGACCCTTGGCATTTCTTCCAGGGTTAATCATCTCATGTGTGTCACAGGAGAGAGCACTCACAGCTGAAAACACTTCCCCTCTTTCTGCTCCATTGCAGCAAGGCCTTTCTATGGAAGAAACAAAAAGCAATTCACCTTGCATTCTTTTTTCACCCATCCATGGCTTCAAGCCCAGGGTGTCAGCACCCCCACCCGGCCACTCCTTTTCCTCAGCACCTTTAGATGCCCAAACGGGGACTGCAGTGACTTCCCTCCTGCCTCTGGTTTTGGACTGGGGTGCTGGTCTTTCTCTCATTGCGTTTGTGTCTCCAAACAAGACCTGAACCAGATATTTGGGTTTAAAAGCTGAGCTTGCCTAGCACAACCTCCCAAAGGGCACCTCACCATTGCTTCTCCTCAGGCTGGAGCCATGCCCTTCCACCTGCACCCCTCTGCCCCTCGGCCTCATCCTTACCCCAACAGGGACTGCCCTGACCACCAGGGGCTGTCCGTCTCTAGAAACAGCACCTGAGTAAACTAACCCATTGCATACACCTGTTTAACACACTGCCACTCTGCTTATTTAGGGCAGGCGCAATGCAGAGGAAGGTAAGCAAAAAAGAACTACACATCAGATGTGTTTCTAACCAGCTTTCATGGAGATGGTGGTCACGTTTCCAGTCAGGCTTTCTGTCTTTCCGCTCCACGAGTGGTTGCGTGAGGCTCCTCAGACCATAGTTGTCTCCTTATCTTTCTGGAGAAGACGACCACATTGTTCCCTCCTGACACCCCTGAAGTGAAGCTTCCTCCAGTTTGTTATTCACATGAGCAACTCACGTTAGCCCCACCAACTTCACCTTCGACTCTCTACCCCTCCCCATGAATCCCACCCACTGAGCCAGGAATGAAAACACCCCTTTAACATTTCCAGCCCTGTGTGAGCAGGTGTTTCTGTATTGTACAGCTCATCCCCCCACCACTGTAACGTAAGAACCTTCGTTTTTGCAGAGTGCTTCAGCCCCAGATGCATGTGTGTGGGGTATAGGGAAGTTATTTATTTTGAATGAGCTAAACTGACTTTGGATGCAGGTCCTGTTATCAGAGCTGTATGGCGAGCTATAGAAATGGAGCTTTCCCCCCACCTCAACAGAGCCCAAACACACCACTTTCCATGCCACACAAAAAGCTCCAGAAATAGATTTCCTTCTGTTAGAAATATGCCAGGGTCCTCATGATTCAACCTTTCGGGAGACCATTTAAAGTTAGAAAATGTTTTACAGAAACTATGGATTGCATCTAATTCCTGCTTTCACTTGAAGGTGAAAACTGTCTTTCTAGTTCTCAAACAGAAGCCAGTATAAACTTCTCCTCAGATAAACATCTGTCTGTGTGTGGCTGCAAATGTTTGGCTCTTAAGGCTGGTCTTTATCTGACTTCCTTATACGTGAATGCTGAGAGGATCAGTGCACTCATCTAGCAAGGCTGTCTATGCTCTGACTACCCAGTAAAATAAGATTATAAAGATATCTGTATTAAATTGGGAATACATTGTTTGGCAATGTATAAGAAATGCCTCCCCAGACCCAGAAGTGCCCCGGGTTGTTGCCTGAGAGAATGAGATGGAAATACAAAGCCTACTTTGGGCTCTTTCATTGCATTATCGCGGTGATTTTTTGAGCATCATTTAAAGTAAAGCACTATTTTTTGAAAGAGCGAAGCTTTTGACACAGGGCCTGGAATGACAAAAACAGTGTTTCATCTTTGATCCAACAAAACTGAACTAAAGGCTGTCAGAGAAAGAATCCAGTGCAAGAAGACACAAAGCCCATCTGCTCATACCACCAAGAAAAACAGCTATGCGG